CATAGTGAGTTCCAGGACAGCTGGGGCTACAGGGAGACCCTGTCTCAAAAAGACAAAAAAACAAAAAAACAAAAAAAAACTGGTTTAAAAAATAAATAAATAAAGCTTATCAAGTTTCTGAGAAGCAGGCCTTCCTTCCTAATGGCTCTCCTCTCCCTGGCTGTCTAGACAGAGCTAAAGCCTCTTAAGAGCCTGAAAGCCAGGAAGTGACCAGGGCTGGGAAGGCTCCACAGACGGGCTCCTGAAAAGGCCTCTCTCCTCTGCAGTGATAGATTACATGGGAGACAGGTTTTATTTTGTTTTGTTTTTTGTCTTTTTGAGACAGGGCCTCCCTGTAGCCCCAGCTGTCCTGGAACTCACTATGTAGACCAGGCTGGCCTCAAACTCACAGAGATCCACCTGCCTCTGCCTCCTGAGTGCTGGGATCAAAGGCGGGCCCCACCACACTGGGCTGGGAGAAAGTATTAAAATAACTCTGCTGGCATGGAATACAATCTACAAAACAGAGATGTCTCCACATTCAACCCCAATACCAATGCCTGGGAAAGAAGGGAAAGGACCAAGGAAAACAATCTTTTATCTCTAAACTTTCCTTTGGCGTGGTGGGGGTGGGGGGTGGACACTCTGGTCTTCATCTCCCCCCACCACTTCCCTGGTCTTGACCACTAACACCCCTCCCCCAAGTGGCTGAACTCTCCTGGTTGCTTGCTCATCTTCTCCACAGTCCCACACAAATCAGGTTATCCTCACCCGCTGAGCATCCCCAAAGGTATCCTAACACTAGCCTAAAGCCTGGACTGCTGACTGAGGCTTAGGCACTCCTGAGCATGCACTCCTGAACATGCAGCCTTGACCCCCTTCCCCCACCCCCTTTCCAACTTTCTCGGCCTAATTCCTGCCCAGAGACACAGGGGCTGCTTCCTGCACTTGCCATGGGCTATTTTCTTCAGAGTTCCCATACCCTCTCCTCCACAACAGTCAAGCTTCTGCTCAAGATGCCGACTCTTCAAAGAACCCTTACAAAGGACCTGACTATATCAGTTGTGCCTAGGGAGAAGAGAATGAAAACTATGGACTCCAGGACTGGCCATGCAGACTGTTCTAGAACAGAGCGTGTGAGTGTGATGGAGGAGCCACGCCTCCAGTGAGCTGGACTACTCTATCCTAAGCATTCCACAGCACGGACCTTCGACACCACAGCACAGCACAGCACAGGCCATTCTACTTACTGCTCTCCGGAATCTAACACAGCCACCTAGAATGACAGAACAGGTCAAAATAAAGGAGCCACACAGACTGAAACTTTTGGTGGGATTGTGTCAAAAAGGGATTATCTAGCAACTTCTGCTTCTAGGAGGGTTAGGAAAACTCCTACCAAATTCAATCCCCTTACAGAAGACAACTATAAACTTTGGACAAAAATTCAGTAAAAAGGAGCTGGAGAGATGGCTCAGCAGTTAAGAGTACTAGCTGTTCTTGCAAGGGATCCAAGTTCAATTGCAGCTCCTACCTGGCCACTAACAACCATCTCTAACTCCACTTCTAAGGATCCGATGCCCTCTTCTGGCCTCTGCAGGCACTGCGTGCATGTGGTACACTTACAAATGCAGGCAAAACACGTAAAATAAAAATAAATAAAGTTTATTTATTAAATAAAGAAACGAATCTTGCCCGGTATGGTGGCGCACGCCTGTAGTCCCAGCACTTGAGAGGCAGAGGCAGGCGGATCTCTGTGAGTTCAA